CGGCCGGCCACCGCCAGCCCCGCTCGCGCGCCCGCGCCGCTGCCGCCCGCGGGTATTAATAGCCAGAGCCGCAGGCGCAGCCGGAGCCGCCGCGCCCTCGGCAGCCGGGGGCTCGGGAGCTGCGGAGCCCGGAGCCCGGGACTGCGAGCCGCCGGCGCCGTGGAGGTAGGAGGCGCGCAGTGAACAATGACCGCGGCGGGAGGGCGGGGGCGGCCGCCGGCGGCAACTTGTGCGAGTCGGCTCCCGGGGCGCGGGCGGAGGTGGGTGCGTGGCCCACCGGTGGGTCCCGCCCGGAGGAGGCGGGCCGGGCCCGGGCAGTCCCGGCAACAATGGCAGGAGCTTGGGGGCCTCCGGGCTCCGCGCCGCCCTTTGCACTCTTTTCCCTTCACCTCTGCGGACCTCGGGCTGCGGGACTCGGTGTCCGTCCCCTCTTGCCTTCCCCACCCTCAGCGCTCTTCCCCCGCTTCCTCCCGTCCCACCCTGCGGGGTGACACCGCCGGACGCTGCTTCCGGACCTTGGGACGCAATCTCGGCCCCTGAGGCCGGTTGCGGACCAGGGAAGTGGCCGCTGGCGCGGATGCCACCGCGGCTCCGAATGCCTGCAGCTCGCCCACGCGCCGCGCGAGGTTCCCGGTGGGTGACAAAGAAGAACACACCCTCTGCCCGAGTTAAATTTTGTCTCTCTTTACTGCTTGCTTTAATGGAGGGCAAAGTTTGAGTGGTTTTCTTTTTTAAAGTAAAGGATTTCTTTTGTGGTTAGCATTTCAAAACAACAACTTCTGATTGTGGTTTTACGATTTAAGTTCCAGAAACTTTAGCTATGCGATTCGGCTGGAGCCGTGAGTGTGTGTGCGTGTGGGTTTGGGAAACACATGAGTTCTCTGTGAGCAGTCTGGATTTCGTCCCTGGCGGTTGGAGGATGTTGGGGTTTGAGTCGGGTCCCCCAGACGGGAGGGGGCTGAGGTTCACAAAGAGCCGAGGACCCTCCTCTCGGATCAGCCGGTTCAGTTGTGGAGGAGATTGCTTTTCATCTGGAACAGTTTAGCAGTCTCAGCCTGTCTCTCTTCTCAGCCGTGGGGGGTACCGATGGCCTTTGGCAGTTTCTTTTTATGGTTGTTAAGGCCGTTCTTCTTGTCATTTTCCCAGGTTTGACTTGCTCAGCCCTGGCTCCTGCCACTGTACGCCGTGGGCCCCCCTCGATCCGGCAGGCTGCATCTTCTGAGCCAAACCTTGGCCTAGCACTGGGTTATGCTTAATGTGCCTTGCACGTGGTGACTTGCCAGCCTATTTCAGAACATCCACTGTCTTGCTTTTTCTTATTCAGTCTCCTCAACTAGGAGAGAAGAAAGAAAGATCTTTTTGGTCCTGAAAGCTTCAGGGAGAGTTGCCTGAAAATTTCCTTGTTAGGATGAGGCAGGGCCCTGGTGAAGTGGCCCTACCTCTGGCTTTTCTTCCTTCATTCCACAGCGCCCTGCTGCGGGTTTACCCTCAGCCTTTCTGATGGGTTGGTGTCCAGGATATGACAGTTTCTGACAATGAGCTTCATCTGTGGGTACAGCTACCACATGGCTCACTTTATATTCCTGCAGCATCGTTCTGCAGCAAGGCATCAATATTGGAGTTACTCCAAGCACAACGAAACGTTTGTGTTTTTAGAATGTCTGGCTAATAGATCTGCTTCTGGGTAAAATAAATAGAAGCATTATTGGGCAGTGGCTGGTTTACTGAGGAAATTGTTGCTGGAGATAGTGAGTAGATACTGCCCTAGCCTGATGCGGCCCAGAATCTCATAATTGTTTCTTTTATGTGCGTGAGAAACTAGAATCCATGCTGATGAGGTTAGCCATGTCCCATGTGGGCACAGATTCTATGGGGTACCCCTCTGTGAGTTGGGGTGTGGTGTTTCATTTAGAAGTTCTGTCCTTGGGGGAATCCTTTTGAAGTCAGGTTTATTAAGCCTCTTCTTCCTGGGATTGATATAGAGATGGATTTATTTTTGGGGTCATTAATAGAATATTACTATTATTCTGTGGCCATACTTACCAAAGATTTTAAAATAATTATCCTAGACAACTTTCTCACTGCGTTATTGCGGTTATCTTCAATTTATCTTGAGACTGCAAGGAACCTGAAGGTTGTTTTGCTTTTCATTCAAGAAACTGTTCAAGGAAATAATTTTTTAAAAGATAGCGATTGAATATAGTATTGAAAAGGTTAGTTTTTTAAACAGTGGAGCCTGTAATCATTAAACAGGTAGGAGTTTAACTTATTTGGAAAATAGTATCTGTTTAGGAGGAGAGGATGCTTGTGATAAACGCCCCAAAACAACTTTTTCCACCCTGGAGGGGGTTAGAGAACACTAGAGAAAAGACAAAATCCTATTTTTTCCATGCTTAGGAGCTCAGTAGAAATGGTGTTTGTGGTTTTCCCAGAGGATAAGGGAAATTTTATGGACTTGTAGGTACTGTACTTGCCTAATGTTTTGATAGCATGATGAACTGGACATTTTAAACAAACCCTTTGTACGTGGCCTTGCTTATTGCAGAGAACTGCTTAGTATTTTTGAGCAATGCATTTTCCTCACCCATTGAAGATGGTACGGAGAAAAGGCACCCATGTAACCCTGTAATGCAGTTGCTGGAGTCCCCTGCAAGGGCGGTACAGGTATTCCTTGTATTGGTTACATTTGCCTGGGGGGAGTGGGAATGGAGCTTAGCTTCTAGTGGCTCTCCTGTTGTTTGGTGCTTTTCATTGAAAGGAGGCTTTCCTGGCCTGGGTACTGAAGGGGAAGCTGAGGATGGACTCCTTGTCTTGCTTTTTAGAGGTTAGAGTTTGTGCAGGGGCAGTACTTGATCACAGCCCTCTTACTCTGACGCAGGCTTTCTTGGTACCTCCTTAACCACAACCATGTGGCCCGGAAAATCGAAGCCAAATGGTTTCCATTCAGGTTACTTGAAATAGCGATTTGTCCCATCCCTTTATACCAAATGCAGCCTTTGTTTTTAATCAACCCCCCCCCCCCCGAAAATGTTTATTTAAGATTAGAAAAACTGACCTTTTGTAGGATGCTTTTGCTTTGGTTTGAGTTAGTTAAAAACATTTTGCCAAGTGGATACGTGGAGCAAAAGTGAACTGTTGAAACATTATTAAAATATGGTGCTCTAAGCTTTTGATATTAATCCAGTGTGACCAAAACTGAGCGCATGCTCAGTAAGGGCTCTAAACTTTTAACTCAGAGTTGCAGTTTTCTTATTTTAATGTGGGATGGAAATTATAGACCAACTGCAAGATTTGCAATTAATGTGGGAATTCACCATTTACACCAAGTTAATATCATGTATAAAACTGTCAAATTTGTGCGTATGTTAAAAAAAAATAGAGTCTCGGGCAAAAGAGATTTCTTTTAGCTCTCTGTTACGATAATACTCCTTACCATAAAGGTAACCTCACTTTACGTACTGACTTTTAGCAAAATACTTTCCATAAAGGTATCTGAGTATCAATTATAAGGGAAGACTTATACATCCAAGATTATGATGACTTCCAGGATTTGCCATCACCCTGTTTATTCAGGGCGTCGTACTGTGCCTGGACCATAGCAAACCCTTTGTAGGTATTGTTGAGTGAATAAGCAAACCCAGCTTTCACTGTCCTTTTCAATTAGTCTATGGAATTTTTTTTTTTTTTTTTTTTGAGACAAGAACCTCAAGCTATCCCCCTGGGCAGAGTGCCGTGGCATCTCAGCTCACAGCAACCTCCAACTCCTGGGCTCAAGCCAGTCTCCCGCCTCCGCCTCCCAAGTAGCTGGGACCACAGGCGCCCGCCACAACGCCCGGCCATCTCTGCAGCCATCATTGTTGTTTGGCGGGTCCAGGCAGGATTCGAACCCGCCACCTTAGGTGTATGTGGCTGGTGCCTTAGCCGCTTGAGCCACAGGCGCCGAGCCTAGTCTGTGAAATTTTTAAGGGAAACCCAATATTAACACTGGTAGGTTGCAGTTCTGGGAATCTGAAAATTTGATATTTCATTTCATTTTTAATTTCAGCAATTTAATCCTTAAAGGTGGGTAATATTGTAAGAAAGACAGGCTGATCTTAAAAAACAATCAGATGATAAAGGCATGGAAAAGAAAGAAAAACAAACTTACCATTTATTACTGAGTTCTACCATTGGTGTTTTCATGTCTGTTCATACATCCTCATTTCTTAACCTTCTCTCAATTTAATGCTGTCATTGTTTTATATCATTTTTCTCTGTAGGTTTCATTTATTTTTCTACTTGGAAGGTTGCCTTTGGCATACATTTTTTTAGAAGTTCCACTAATAAGTATCTATTGGTAACCTCAGTATTTTGTGCCTTAATTGTCTTTATTCTTGAGTGATAGGTTTATCTAAATATGCAATTCTGTATTGTTCTTATATTAATCACCTGTCTTCTGGCCCCATTGCTGTTGTTGGCTAATTGTTATTTGTAAAAAGTCTGTCTTTCCGGCTGCTTTAAAGATTCTTTGGTCTGTTTTCAGTATACTGTTCCTGTACTGTTCACTATTCCTCTCTCTCCTTTCCTCCCCTCCCTCTTCTCCTCTCCCTCTCTTCTGCCCCTTTTCCTTCCTCTCTTCCTCAACATTCTGTCTCCCATCCTCTTATCAGTTTGCTTCTTTCTATTGCTCAGTAATGTTTCAGTGCTTGGAAATGCTATAATTTACTTATCTACTCACCTTTGGCCATTCAAGTTTTCTGTTTTGGCAAACATGAATAAAACTGCTGTAGAACATCTGTGAACAGGTCTTTGTGTGGAGGAATGTTTCTTTCTTTCTTTTTTTTTTTTT